CTGGCCGTGCTGGCGGCCGCCGCTGCTGGTTGCGCCCGGGCAGCCATGGACGAGTGCACGGACGAGGGCGGGCGGCCGCAGCGCTGCATGCCCGAGTTCGTCAACGCCGCCTTCAACGTGACCGTGGTGGCCACCAACACGTGCGGGACTCCGCCCGAGGAGTACTGTGTGCAGACCGGGGTGACCGGGGTCACCAAGTCCTGTCACCTGTGCGACGCCGGCCAGCCCCACCTGCAGCACGGCGCCGAGTTCCTGACCGACTACAACAACCAGGCCGACACCACCTGGTGGCAAAGTCAGACCATGCTGGCCGGGGTGCAGTACCCCAACTCCATCAACCTCACGTTGCACCTGGGTAAGCGGTGACAGCCTGGTCCCCTCCTCCCGCCCAGCGGCAGCTCAGCTCCTGTGGCCCAGCCTGCGGGGTTCGCACAGTCGCGTGCGGGCCCTGGGCTTTGCAGCTCGGGCCACCCGCGAATTCCCTTCTCCACCTTCTAAAACTTCAGCTTTTCACAGCCTGCGAGAGCCATCTCTCTTTGCTTTCCCACTCTCTCTAACTTAACGGGATTTGCTCTCGCTTTTTAATTCGCTATTTAAGCCGTAGGCGTTGGGTCCCCACTTTTTTTAAGCGTTAGTCAGAAACGCCTATGGTGACAGTCTTCTTCAGAACCATCATAACGCATTCTTGGATCAGAAATACTTTACTCTCTGACATCTTTAAGTTGAGTGTGATTGCTGTTTGCTCTGGAAAAAAAAAATAAGGGAGGCTACAAGTCTAAATTAGGGGAACTTAAGGGGAGAAAATGCCTTTTCTGCCCATATTCCTTATATGTAATTGAAGCAAATTCACTTTTAAAGTTACCCTTCATCAGAGCTGTTCAGCCTTAATTAAGGGCTACAAAGCTATTTCCCTGCTAATTTTGGTACAGAAAAAACAAAAGGAAGTGTCTGTTCTCACTGTAATTGCTAAGCACTAGTTTTGTCTCAGGGCAAAAGGGCTCCATACTGTCTTTTTCTTTGATTCAGAATAAATGTAGAAACATGCATAAGTGACCTTTTATAAATCAGGAAAGGGGTGCATAAAAAATGTAATTGTAAGACAGTGGATGAGGATGGGCTTGTGTTTCATCTATCCTGTTGTGTTGTGTTGTTTTAGTTTTAATCATTGAAGTATGAAGACCAGCGGAAAAATTCATTATTATGGTTCACAGAGAAGTGTGAGAAACTGGTATTTGATTTGTAGAGTTGAAATCCCGATTGCACTGAGGGAGTTGATTTTACCAGTGGTTAGTACTAATGAACTATAAAGAGAACAGCCTGCCCCAAGCCATTCTCCTGTCAAAGATGGATAATTCTATAAGGCTAATAACATTATTTGGAGAGTTTTAAAATGAACGTTTTTGTAGACAAATGATTCTTTTGATCACGGGTATTTTTCTTACCACTCTTCTTTGGTCCACTGAATTTTTATAAGCATCAAGATTTCAAAGAAAGAATTTAACTTTAAAAGTCTTTTGTAAAATGGTGTTAAATTAGTGTGCATGGGAAAATTTTTTCCCTTAGTGCCTTTGTCAACACCTTTGCCATAAATACCGTTTCACTTGTAGCCCAGCCATTAGGTGGGTAGAACTTTCTGAAAAGAAGCTGATAAAGTGGAACTCTGAAGCCTCCATTCATCCCCTCTGTGCCCCCCCCAGTGGAGAAATAAGCTACTGAATTACATTTTCCAGAGGTATTAGAAATCTATAGACTAGCAGTATTTTGAAACAGGTACCTTTCAAAACAGGTACATTGCAAAACAGGTACATTGCAAAAGAGGGACTAAATAAAAAGCCTGTGGTAATACTTTTTACCTGTTTTATCCTAAATGTTATATGTTGAAATTGATTCAAAAACAATTTTTAAAATTTATATCTGACCATTTTTGTTTAAATTTTTGTTAGCATTTCCCTTGAACTTTGACTGTCCTTTGAGTCAGATTTTATTCATTTTCACATGCTAAAATTTTCAAAGACAAGGCATTATCTTCATATCTCAGTGTGTCTGAGATTCTAGTGGCAGATTTCTAAACCATTTATTAGAGATCAGGCCTTCTGTGGTTACTGCTTTAGATACTGTGTAGCAAAAGGTTATTTGAGGTGAGTGCAGGAGTGGATAGATTACTCAGTGATTACTCCTGTGTTATAAAGATAAAATAGTAGAATATGACAGTATCAGCCAAGTTAGTTTGTTACTGCTGGGAGGCAGCTATATTAACTTTCAGTTGTGGTGATTATGAGGTCAACAGAGATCTTAGAGTTCACTTAGAACTCCAGCATGACTTTCTATTCTAAAAATGTTAGGTTTCTTGGATTTGAATTTGCTGAAAAAGTCCTTTGCTTTTGGAAGTATTTTTGCTAAATAAACTTCCAACATCTTAAAGTTATTTAAAAATATTTATATATACATTGTGCTTAACCACAAAACCATTTTATGTTGGTTGAATGAAAATGAAAACAAAACAAACAAAAAACCCCAACCATTTTATGTTGGACAATTTTTAAAAATTCAACTAGAACTTAACTTTTTCTTGGATCAGATACAATGTCCTGGAGGAAATTGTGTGTGTAGGTAGAGGGGAGATAGAGCAGGGGATCCAAGTATAGTGGGGGCTTCATTTTTTTTCTTGTTGCTGGCTCTCTTAATGACAAGAATATGTGTATGCATATATGGTATCATTAGTAACTTAATAAGCAAGGTTTTATGTATCACTGTGTGTGTGTATGTCCAACATACTCTCTAACTTAAGTTACTCCATGGACTCTAGCTAACTAATTATTTCCCACGAATTCAAGCACCATGACTGTTTGTGCATCTATTAAATCTCCCATCCAGTTCAAATTTCACATACCCTTAAACAAGTGATGCATATTGTGCTCTGCCCTTACAGAGCATGTGAAACTTGAAATGAGCAGTATGAAAAGAGCTAGATCTGGCTACCACTTTCCAGTTTGCCTTTTGATGTTGAAGTTCAAACAGTAAATTTTAAGATAAGCAGAATGGAAACACACTTTGGCCTTCCCAGAAACATACATGTTTTGCCACTGATCCAGAATGACTTATTCAGATATAAGAATAAAACATTTATCATCAAAATTAAACAGTGAAGCATAAGGGAAAATGACTCTTTTCATTTCCACTTGGTCAGACTCTTTTCCCTGGGACCACCATTCATAATTTCTTGCGCAACTTTCCAGAAGTATTTCATGCATGCACATATTTAAAATAACATGTTCATTTTAACTGACCTCCTTTCTAGGAGTGGGATACATGTATTTTTAACTGATGTGAGTACAAATTAGATCATTGTACTCTTTTCATCACTTGCTGTGCACAAGCCAGGAATGTCAGCTTTGATTTTGAAAGCGGACCTATCTTGAGCACCATACACAGTAGTCCAAGGTGCAGTGTTTTGTCACATAGAATGAGTTACAGTTGCTGTGGGAACCAAAGCAATACTTTCTTCCTGTTCTAGAGAAAAATACCAGCAGACACTCTCTTTTGAAAAAGTCTTTTATTTTGCTTGTTCAGCTTCTGAATTTTCTCTCTCATTTTATGTATGTATTATGTAAAGTTTGGGCTTTTGTTTTTTGTCATAGTAAGTTTTATCAGTATCAGTGGGATAGTTGGTAGTAAGATTGTAGTTGATAGTTAGATTTGCCCTTTATTAAATGATACTTGACTACATTGATAATCACAGTGGATGGAGATTTGGCAGTGAAGGTCTTGTTATTGGAGGAAGGTAGCTTGCCCTTCAAAACAGATTAAGGAAAAGAGTGCTGCTTTAAAAGGATTTAGATAAAAATGTATGGACTAAAATTAACACTGAGATCAGGTGTATTTCCAAGCCCCTCTTAAATTTTAGCAACAAATAATGCTGAGGTAGTGCATTTAAACGATGTCTGGATAGCATCCTTTGGGGTCTAAATCAGAGTAATTGATACTTAAGAATATTGCAGCTTGTATTCTGGGAGATCCTGTAGTGGATATACATTTAATATGGAGTTTTCCCTCTTTCCTGCCTTTGCAAGGTAGGCTCTGGCTGTATGAGGGAGTAGCTCACTCTGGTGACTTCATTGAAGTATTTGTGCAGCCTGAGGGGACACTATTTTAGTTCGTTTCACAAAGGCTTGGTTTACAGGTTATTTTGCAGGTTTAGACTTGAAAAGGAGCTCTTCTTTAAAGCCCAGCAGTTGGTAACAGAGTTTTCTAAAGTTGTTTTTGGCTGCTCTATTTTTCTAGAATTCATCTCCCTTTTTTAAAAAAGGCTTGGGGTGGGGGGGAGGGAAGTACACATTACAGGAGAAATTGGGGTTATAAAGTCTAAAATGCAATTTTGACCTCTCACATTGAATTGTTATTTGACTGACAGCCTCTGTGGGGGTAGAAGTTTTGACAATTTCAAGTATAAATCCTTTTAGGAAGTCTTTTGCTATTTTTAATCCCTTCCCCCATGCATGTGTGCTTACGTTACTGTTAAATAGTCTACAAACATTTTAAAATACCTACTAAATACATGATACTGTAGAAAGTTGTACATGATTGAAAATCTTGTGTTCAGAAGCTTACACTTTATTAGGTGGAATTTGCATATCCAGTTATAATGCCACTACAGAGTAAATGAATCATTGCTAAGTCTCACCTTGGAGGCTAGGATTTTGAAGCTCCTCCTCGCTTACTTTGGGCACGTAGCCCGGAGAGATTGGTCCTTGGAGAAGGACATTATGCTCAGCCGGGCAGCGCAGGAGAGGGAGACCCTGGATGAGATAGATGGATGGATTGATGCAGTGACTGGGGTGATGAGGGTTGGTGTGTCAGAGTTAGTGAGACTGGCAGGGAAGAGTCAGGGAAGGGTTCAGAGCTGCTATGCATAGGGTTGCTATACATCACAGGTGACTTAATGGCACATAACATGACAGGTTTGGAAGCAGGAGTGGTATCCACTTCCTAAACAACATGCCACTAGAAACTCTATGAACTTTGTTCAATGTCCATAATTGTAGAGGGCTTCAGGCCTTTTGTTCATAGGGTCACTGTGAGTTGTGCTCAGCTTGAAGGCAATCAACAACAACAAAAACAACAATAGTTTATCATGCAGTGGTTTGTTTTTTTTTTTTAAATAGCTTGGTGAAAGCAAAGATACTTTAGAAGTATTTTCCTCTCATTGGATTCAACTCATAGCTCACCATTCAGCCTTTTTTCAGAGACTGTAAATCACAGGAGAGGAGACTGTCCATCTTTCTGCTGTGGAGCAGTTGGTGGGTTCGATGTGCTTGTCTTTGGGTTGGTGGTGCTTCTTAGGCAGTGACCCATTTA